CACCCGGTATGTTGCGCATGCTGATATTCGGGAGTTCCGCTCCTCCTATGTACTACGCGTCAATAGCGGTCGCGATTTTTGATATCTCAATATTCATTATGTAAAAACAGGATTTTGTGTACACTCGGTATATCTTATACGCTCGCCTCCGAGTATTCCGCTCCTAATGCGTCCTAGTCGTTAATAGCGGTCGCGTTTTTTGATATCTTAAAATTCGTTATGTAAAAACAGGATTTTGTGTACACCCGGTATATCTTATACGCTCGCCTTCGAGTATTCCGCTCCTAATGCGTCCTAGTCGTTAATAGCGGTCGCGTTTTCCGATATCTTAAAATTCATTGTGTAAAAACAGGATTTTTGGTACACCCGGTATATCTGTTGGGCCTAGAATTGGCTCCCGTATCGGTCTCTAGTACTAATTGTACGTAGCGGTCGCGTTTCCCGATCCCGCCGTTATTTTTATATTAATTGTCAATTTCGCGGACCCCCTGTGTCTTTCCGGTCCTGATCGCGCTTTGACTTTTCGCGTGTTTGTACCGCGTCTCTTTTGATGTTTCGGGTTTTCCGAAACTATTGAGGCCACGTGCCTCTAACTAAATAAACTTTTGTTTTTCGGCCTTTTATGCTAGGCCTTGGCCTCTATTAGTGCCCTTAACATGAGCAAAAAATAACAAATAAAAGGATCCGTAGATAATACTATGTAGCTATTCCTATCTCTAATTAGTACGCTGAAAGTAATCTTTTTTTTTTGTTTTTCTCTTTTTCGACTTAAATTTATTCGCTATATATTTACATATGCGGGGTTTCCTTTTCCGCGCGCCAGCTCCGCAGAGGTCGGATCGGGGGCGGCTGGCGGAGGCTCCCTCCGGCTGTAATGTCGGATTCACTTCCGTAATTCGCGATAAATCGCACTAATTCGCGTTTCGCGTTACTGTATGGGCGTTCGGACACGATGCAGTATAACTAAGATACCGGTTTCGCATCGATTTTCCCGAAAATCGCAATTAAATGAGCCGCGTTCGTTAAAAACGTCCGTCCCGTTCGGTTGTCTATCCACGACTGACTTTCAAGATGGCAGTCGCCACTGCCAAGATGGCCAAAAAGAACTGGTGTGTACCCTCGGTCGGTTCGGTGTTCCCGAATCAGGTTGTTTTCTAGTAATTCATTCATACAGCCTTTACAATGTTAAAAATAATCTAAATAATTCGGAGATAATCTCCTGATCATGAAATAATTATGGACTTCCGCTTTTATTAATTATTTATGCGGATAATTGAACTTTGTAATTGGACAATTTCAGTAACTTGTCCAGATGTGGGAAATAATTCTTTTAACTCTAAATAATTATGAAATAATTCAATTTGACTCTAAATAATTTATCTTTACTGAAATAATTGGCCTTGTTACTGAAATAATTCAAACAATGTGTAATTAGCAAAATATTGAGATGCGAGTGTGAATGCACCCTAAACAATTCGTAGGTAATGTGGATAGTGCTTAAATAATTCCAAATAATTAGGAGATGGCTAGTTTTGCCCTGAATAATTCTAAAATGATCTCTGGAACATGTCTCCAGACTGTTATGTGATAAATATAACTCGCAAAATTTAAATTTTTGGTCCTCTATGTCGCTCTCGCGTACCTTAACGTTATCTGATTTAACTGGAACATCCTTTCGTAAATACTTTAAATAATTAATTTGGACTGTAAATAATTTAGAAATAATATACTGGAATTAATTAGCTGGTTTCCAACCAGGTTCTATGATGCTTAATCAATTTTGTTAGTCTGTCCTTGTCACTCTATTGTAAATATTATGTTTTCTCTTTCTAACTTATGTCCGATGTTCCAATTAATTCGAAGTGCTCGAAATAATTCTAAATTGCTCAAAATAATTCGGCTTACATGCCTACGTAATGAAATAATTATAATAAGTTGGTTTACTAACCTTTTTCATAAAATGATCGCTCTTGGGCGTTTGTTAACAATTCCTTTTTCTTTTAGGGTCTCCAAATCAATCACAGCGTACGTTTTAGGTAAGTATATATTTCTATGGTTATTTTAATTTCTTTTCTTTTCTCTCATACTAGTTTATTCGATTTAACTCTTTTTCCTTATTATAGGTTATCAGCTGGATTGGATTGGTTCACCTGATGGTTTTATTTTCTATAGGATACTTAGGTAGGTTGAAAATATGCTTTATATTAATTAATTCAAGGAGTATAAAAATTTATTGTGTGAACGTAAGTATGTTAATAAATCGTATGATTACCTTTATTAGACATTGGAATAATTAAATAAACTGAACTGAAATAAGATAAGGATCATTGACCTTCGTCCATCGTGTGTACGTTTTTTGACCTTTCCAACACAACATAAAATAATAATATATAATCTTTTAACGGTGTTTAGTCGCCTTAACAATAACAAAGTAATATAAAATAATGAATTCCCGCATTTCCTCTTGGTTTGGGGGCGGGTTGACTTTAAGCCTCCGGGTTTTCATGCTGTCCCTCGGGTTGATTGTTGTCATCCGTGGTAGCTTTATCAGTTGTTTCTGGGAAAATCTTCCTAGCGGCTGCCGTGGTCGTTTGTCCTGGGGTGGAATTACGCCTGATCGTAATCGCTATAGTCTCCTTGCCTCTCTCCACACCTTTCCCAGATGTTGTTAAGATCGGAATTACGCCGAGTTGCTATTGCTTAAATCCTTTCTCCCTCCTCATACCGATCGCATAGAAATATAGCAACTAGTCAGAAGGTATCGCTACGCACATTACGATCGCTTATTTTAGGTTATAACTTTAGATTATAATTTTTTTAATGTAGTATAACGTGCCGTCAACCGTATTATCTTTTACGGTTTCTTGACACCTAATAATTTTTGTTTATTATCCTTAGTGGTCAGGTTAATTTTATGATAACAATAAAATTGAAAAGGTACGTACATTTTAATTAAATAAGACAGGACGATCAATATTAAATTTTCTGTGTATGGGCGTGTGTGTGTGTAATTATCTTTCTAAAAAAAATTATAATTAATGATTATTAAAAAGCATTACGAGGTTAAGTTATGTCAATTAAATTTTTTTTAATTTTAAATGGCCCGTATGAAAGTACAAAATAAACATTGGGAGTTATTTTTAAATTTTGCCGAACAACACCCAGAAATTCTGACTGGAAAATTTACATCTGCAAATGCTAAGCAAGCTCAACAAAACCTATGGCAAACTGTTACTGCACAATTAAATGCATTAGGATTGGGTGAAAAGACTGCAACAAAATGGAAAGAGTCTGTGATCGATTGGAAATGTAAAACTAAAAAGAAAGTCAGTGAATTGAGACTGCATATGGGAAAAACAGGAGGTGGAGGAGTTTCTACAAAAAAATTATCTGATATTGAAGAGAGATTATTATCAATAATAGGTATGACTGCTATCGAAGGAGATATTGGTTTGGAAGAAGTAGGGCTTCCAACTCATAATGAAGAACCTATAAACATATTGACAGCTGACATTGAATATGTGATTAATGCACTTCCTATAGAGTATAATGAATCAACATCCACAACAGTCACACCTATAATAGTAACATCAGCAACAGTCACATCTACAGCAACATGCACAACAGTCTCATCTATAGTAACATCAGCAACAATAACATCTACAGTAACATCTACAGTAACGTCTGCAACAGTCACACCTATTGTAACATCCGCAGTATCAATTATACCCGTAACGCCCACAACATCAAACGCAAATCCTAATAGGAAAAGAAAAAGAAATCAAACGCCTAATTTACAAATTCAAACAAATTTGTTGGAAAAATATCATGATGAAACTTCAGGAAAAATGGATGACATAGTAACTTCATTAAATCAAAATACGGAAGTCCTAGTCTCTATCAAAGATGCCATTTTAGAATCTACCAAAGAAAGTAGTCGAGCTCTGCTACAAGTTCGAGATACTTTAGTAAATATTACAAATACTTTTTGCAATGCAAATGTAACAGTTCCTACTTTGGTTCCTAAATAAGAATGAGATATATGGATAAAATGAATAGCAAGTTCGTTTTTTTTCTAAAGCGTGCAATATAGATTTATTTTTTTTTTATAAAAAATGTACAAACATTATATGTAATCATTAATATAAAAAAAGTTAAGTTTGGAAATTTAAAATATATTAAAATGTGATTACACATGTTATGAGTATAAGAAAACATGTTTGTTTTGAAAAATTAAAATATTATTATGTGTACTTATCAATATAAGAAAACAAGTTTATTTCTTTACAGTACAAAATGTATGTTATTGTATTTAACCAAAATAATAAAGATATGTAGTATTATATTGGAATTCTTAAAAAATTTACTTTATTTTTTAACTTTAAAACTAATTAAAGTATCTACGAATTACATTGTCTCTGATCCTTCTACCTTCCACTAAATTATCAAAATTTTGAGCAATTACATGTTCGTTTCTAATATTTTCAATGTTTGGTATGTTCAAGTTGTTCTCAGGTAATCTATACTGAATGCAAAGATTATGTAAAACCGCACAAGCAATTACTATCACCCCTACATAATAAGGGCTATATCGTAGTCCTCTCTCCCCTAGAATGCAACGAAATCTAGCTTTAAACATACCAATGCAACACTCTACACGACTTCTTGCAGAACAATGCCTTCTTGTGTACCGATCTTCAGGAGATCCAAGTACACTATCTAAAATTGGTGTTAGAAGCCATGGTTGTGATGGATAACCTGAATCCCCTAACAACCAAGATGAATGATTTCTTTCAAAACATCTTTTCAAGTATCTGTAAATATTGGAATTTCTCCATATATATGAATCATATGTTGCTCCTGCATATTGTACGTTGATACTAGAAATTTTTAAGTTGCTATCACAAATCTGTAAAATAATGAAGTTTAATAAAAAATTGTTTGCCATAAAATATCTACAATAAAATATTTATAGTAAAAAATATATTCATAAAAAATGTTTAAAGTAAAATATTTACAATTTGTACATTTTTCGAATGAAATCCCTTCCGGTTAACATAGTTGTGCTCTTCAACTGAAGGTGCAAGGATTCGAATATGAGTGCAGTCTATTGCTCCTATTACACCAGGGAATTGAGTGTTTTCCATAAATTGTTGTTTAACAATTTGTTTTTCTACAGCTGTTGTTGGAAATTTTATGTATTCATTCCGTAGATGAGTATATACAAGTTGCGATACTTCCTTTACACAATTGGAAACCGACAACTGGCTTATAGAAATATTGTAACTTTGTCCGATTAATCGTTGATAGCTTCCAGTAGCATACAATAAAAGTGCTGTGAATATTTTAGTTTCTGCACTTAAACTATTTGGATGTGGATTTACGTTCATGTGTGGTGCCAAATGTTCAATTAAAAAATGCACAAGTTCCTTTGACAAACGAAATGTACTAATAAAGTGTTTGTCGTCTAATTCGAATGGGATTGAATTATTTCGCATCAATCTCCTTTGGATATTAAAATCACGCAGATTTCGTTGCCTTTCAATTTCTTCCAATTCTTCTAGCATGAGGAGATTTACAGGCATCATCTAATTGATTGAAAGAAAATTATTCATTCATGTACAATAATATATAATATGTAGTAGTACTTTACCTTTATTTCTTTTCGAAATAGCCAGTACAAAATAATATAAAAAAAAAGAGTTGCCTGAAACGATAAACGTCTAACACGACGTATAATGACGATTTCTTAACCCCAAATAGCTTTTTATTATTTAAGGTTAAGACATTATCATCATATGTCGTTTCAGACGACTCTCTAACAATGTTGCCATATACTCTTGGTCGCTTTGTCCCGAACTTGGCCGAGCAAATGTCGACCATAGTATTCCGATTTAACATGCTACCGTTAAGAGTTGAAATCGACATTGTTCGGTCGCTTGCCGTAGCATTGCAACTTTTCCAGTCGATCTGGCATAATTTGGCCCCTGTAGTTGGTTGTTGTATTTCGACTTATAATTGATTTAGCCCTTCTTTTAATTATTTGGTTGTTGAGAAAATTAGCGGATGGTTGCAAGGTTAGGTTGTGACCGGATTATTGCCTCGACTTTCAAATATCTCGCGGTTTTAATAGTTTTAACAATTATTTAATAATATTAATCACCTGTAGTGACTTACTATTCGGTCGCCACTCTGTTTGTCCGCCCACAGAGAATGTTGAATGTTCTGGGGATTTTCACGTAGCTGGCCAGTAGCGGGAAAAGGCGGGTAGATGTCTTTCTTCCTTCCTTCCTTCCTTCATTCCTTCCTTTGCTTTTGTTCGTCGGCAGCTCGGCTCAGGAATTTATGTAGATGCGATGTTATGCAGCGTGTTTATAATTAATTCGACGTAGGTGTTGCGTGAAATAATTATTTGGCCAATTTTGAAACCACTTAATAAAATTTATTGATAATCTAAACAAAACAGAATAACAGGCCTTTTCACACAATTCACATTCACACGCGCTCATTCACACTACGCGAGATGATGCTTCTATCTCGCTTTCGCTAACGATCACGCGATCAGTCGTGTGGCGTCGCACTTATGGCTGATGCAATCTGATGCAATCGATTCTACGCGGTATATTATGTCGTCGCAATTTACGATTTTACGCGCTATTTCGCGTTTTCGCTTTACGCGGGATGAATCTAAACGAGATTCAATGAGAAACCGGTATAAAACTCGCGTCTTACAAGTCACGCGGTAACCCTTTCGATAAACTTCGGTTATCTCTCGAAATTCGCACTTTCGCGAACAAATAAGCCTTTGCGCGGCTTGAAATACGGTAACGGCACGATTAATCGGCACGATTACGATCGCCCTTTTGCGATAACTACGCGTTCCGCTAAATATGAGTCGCTCGCGCGTTCCGCACGTCCGTCCTGCTCGGCTGGTTCTTAACGACTGAAGTGGAAGATGGCTGCCTCCACCTCTCGAGTTTCGAGTTCGTTCGAGAACCCTGTCTGTACAAATTTTCATTCACTCTTTTGGTAACTTTTCATTCAGGCCTTTACATAGTTAAAACTAGCTTAATTAATTCGGAGATAGTCTCCTGAACATGGAATAACTCTGGACTTTCCGCTTTTTATTTATTTTACGCGGATAATTAAACTTCGGGATTAGACAAATTCGGCGACTTGTCCAGAATTGGACAATAATTCTAATAGCTGAAAATAATGTTAAAATAATTCCAAAAGACTCTAAATAATTCGCTTTTAGCGAAATAATTGGCCTAGTTACCGAATTAATACAATAACGATGTGTAATTGACGAAATATCAAGATGCGAGTATGAATACACCTTAAATAATTAGTAGGTGCTGTAAATAACTTTAAATAATTCTGAAATGACTTATTGTGTGTAAATTATTCTAAAATAATTGCTGGAATGCGTTTCCAGACTGATAAGCGTGAAACTACTCGCATGTCAAGCTTTTGGTCCTTTATGCTGGATTCGCATATCTTTATGATTTTTAATATAACTGGAACATTTTGTGTATCTTCTTTGGATAATTCAATCGGACTCTAAATAATTAGTAAATAATGTTTCTGAATTAATTGTCTGGTTTTTGAGCTTGTTATACATATGTAGTTGGAATAATTTGGAATTGTCTGTCTTTGTCACTCTAATGGTAAGTACTATGTTTTCTCTTTCTATCTTATGGTATCTGTTCCAATTATCTTAAGTACTTGAAATAATTCTAAATAAAGTTAAATAATTCGGGTTACTGCCCGTGTTGCAAAATAATTGTAATAATTAGGTTTTATTAACCTTTAACTGAAATAATTGCCTTTTGGCGTATGTTAATAATTCTTTTCCTTTTCAGGGTCTCTAAGTCAATCTCGGCGTAAGTTGTAGGTATGTACTAGTTCGTATTATTATTTCTATTGCTAAATTTGCGTGTTATATATGTTTATATTATTAATTTTTTTAGGTTAACAAACCGGATTGGGTTGGATCGCCTTCATTGTTTTTTCCTTAGGATATTCAGGTAGGGCGCCGAGTGGCTCGTCGCTCAGTGCGATTGACTCGTGATTTGTGGATCCGGGTTCGATCCCATCTGCGCCTCATATACGCGATTTTTCGCGTTCGCCGTTCGGATTCGGCGTTGAACTAAGTTGTAGGTCCTTTCGAGTGAGATAAACACTCTAATAAGGAGTACACCCACAAAAGCCTTTATGGTGGAGGACATTCCACGGGGGGCGGTGATTAGGATAGGCGGGACGGTGGTCCCGATCGGTTCCACCGTGAGGTACCTGGGCTTAACCCTGGACTCGCGGTAGACCTTCCGGGACCACTTCAACGCGCTGGTACCGAAGGCGTGGGAGATGGCGACATCCCTCGCCAGGCTGATGGCCAACGTGGGGGGCCCCGGGGAACGTAGGAGAAAAACCTACGCCGCGATCGTAATGTCGGTTGTCCTCTATGGCGCGCCAATATGGGCGCAGACGGCGGCCGAAAACCGAGTCATACAGAGAACGGTACGGAGGCTACAGCGTCACCTGGCGATTAGGGTAATCAGGGGGTATCGTACCGTCTCGGGCGAGGCTGCGGCCATTTTGGCCGGAATGGTCCCCTTCGACCTGGCGGCTAACCGCCTTAGACGGTCATACATCAGGAGACGGGACATCATCGCCCGGGACGGCGCGATATCCCCTGGTGCGAGCGCAACTCTGCTGGAGTTGGAGCGCCGCAGATCGATCGGTCGATGGGCCGAGCGCATAGAGGAGCTGTCTCCGAGTGGCCCGGGCGCAGGGGTGCGCGAGGCCATGGGCGGCGATCTGGAGGCGTGGGTGGGAAGGGCTCATGGGGCCCTCACCTACCGCATGACCCAGATACTGACGGGGCATGGGGTGTTCAACGCCTATCTATATAAGATAGGGCGTATGGGCACCCCAATATGCATTTTTTGCCGCGCGGCCCACGACACGGCCGGTCATACCCTCTTGTTCTGCCCGGCTTGGGCGGAGCAGAGGGGTGACTTATTGGAAATAATAGGGGTCGACAGAACGGTCAGGGCGGTGGTGAGGGCCATCGTGCGCTCGCCTGAAGCGTGGGCCGTCTTCGCCTCGTTGTGCGAGGGAATTATGAGACGTAAGGAGGAGGAGGAGCGCGACCGAGAGCGCGAGCAGGCCGCCCGAGAGCGGGCTGCTCGAGAGCAGGCGGGAGCACCGGCTCCTCAAACGGGTAAGCTCCGAGGATCAAATGTGGGAGGAGCTCGCGGAAGATGTACATAAATAAGTGTAAATAGTAGCTATAAGCTCTAATGATCATATGTGGGAGGAGCAAGCGGAATATATAAATTGTAATATATATTTAGGATAATATTAGGATTAGGATTAGGACCTAGGTTAACTGATGGTAGGCATCAGAGAGCGGAGAACCCGCACCAAGAGGCAGGAAGCCGAACAGGCTTTAACGCTGGGGGGCAGTCCGAGGTTATGCTGGAATGCGGTTCCGGACTGTCCCCCATGAGGCTAGGGCGGTAGTGCGCTTTAGGGGGAGTTTTTAGTCGGTAGGCGGCCCTCTCGGTGCGTCCCTGGAATACCTTGTACTCCAGGGTTCACGAGAGGGTTGAGTCCGGCACTCTCGACGGTACGGGCCGTCGAGGGTCTTCCCCTTGCCGATGGGTGTCCCGAAAGGGTCCCCCTCGACAAGGGGTTCAAGAAGATTTTCTCCTCCTACGTAAAACAAAAAAAAAAAAGGATATTCAGGTAGGTTAAAAAAGTATCTTAATAATTAATTATGATATATATAAAACTTTTATTGTATGTGTGTGTGTATGAAAGATAATAATTGATATGTCTTTGTAGACGTTTAGATAATAAGATAATATTAAAATATAAATGACGTTTGTCGAATGAAGTCCACCGTGTGTACGTTTTACCTTTTATAATAAAATATGATAATAATAATAATGATAACATAAAATAATTCTTCGCGACATTTCTTTGCTTTAATAAAATAATTAATTAATCTCCGCACTTCGTTTCGTCTCGGTTTGCGGGTTATTTGCTACTTTTCCAAGGTCGTATGCTGTCCCTCGGTTTCATCCATGTCATCTGTGGTGGCTTCCTTGGTAATTGTGTGGGGTAGTTTCCCGTCGGCTGGGGTGTTTGCTTGGCCCATCTGTGTTTGTTATGTATCCACCTATAATTAATTTCGCCCTTGCTCTTATTATTTGGCGATTTGAAAAAATTAGCGGACGGTTGCAAGGTTAGGTTGTAACCGAACTTATGCCTTGACTTTGTAAAATCTTATGCTTTTGAATATTTAAATAATTATTTCTTAATTAAGGTCACCTGTAGTGATTTACCTTTTGGTCGCCACTCTGTTTATCCACCTACAGAGAAGGAAGTTTCCTTGGCTGTCCCAAGGTATCGGCCCTTATCGTCCTGGAAGTCCCTGATTGGTTGTCTTCCTTCCGTCCTTCATTCGGATTGGCCGTTCAGCAGAGATGATGGTGTCGTCGGTTGATGTCCCGTTGAGTCGCGGTGAGAACTTATAATTAATTCGAGGAGAGGTAATTCTCGCAAATAAATCGAG